CTTAAAATAATGAAAATTAGTCACCATTAAAAAATCAAAAATTCACTAATATACACAAAATTGCGAAATTAATCAAATGTTTCGCTCGGAATCGATCAGAGGCGACGCCTACGGCCAAATAAAACATGAATCAGCATTAAGGACACAAAAAAAAATACACATACGAAAAAGTCAAAAAAATCATTAGCATACCAAATGTTCCGAATGTATCCGAACTGTCATACACGGACTGGGGGCGACGCCTACAGTCAAATTAAAGCATAAACGAACACTAATGATTCAAAATTTGAAATACAGTAAAAAACCAAAATCGCGTCAACAAAATTTTTTTTTTGTTGTTCCAACTTAATTGAAACCGTCAACACAATTCGAGCGGAGGCGACGCCTATAAACGGGAAACAAGCCAGAAGCGAAGAAAACACACGATGAACGGGGAGAAAAGTAAAACATGTTGGAATGGAGGAACAAAGACATGCAGAACACAGCATTTGGCCATTGAACAAAAAAATCGCCGATTGGAAATGAGACACTTCAATGAACTTTTATATAAAAATTGTGAAAATTTATTCGAACAACTAAATCATACAATTTTTATCTTATTAGACGCCACGACGTCCACGACCGCTACGACTTCCACGGTAACCATGATGAGAACGCTGACGCGCACCACGATTGCGCCGATGTCGATCAGTAAGAATAGCCACTATGGTTTCAACGGGATCCTCATCTGGGGTACTGGCGCCCGAGCCATACCACCACGCATCGTCATCAAACTCGGCGGCAGTATTATGTAAACGCCGCGGCACAGCCAAACCTGTGTATAAAAGAAACAAAAATGTAATCAAAACTGGAATATCAAATCACGTCGCATACTACAGAAATGCAATCCTCACAACATGGATACTTACTTGTCGGACGACGATTGGCCATTCGACCACCAATGGTGGGGGTGGTCTCTTCATCATCTTCATCATCTTCATCAAATACCAAATCATGCCGTGTTTCAGTCGGAGCTAATGAGAAAAAGTTAACAACAAAATTAATATATAATCTAAATCATGTGGTCAAGACGAAATCATATAAATACAAGACGAATAATTACTTGCACCAACGGGTTGAACACCGACAACGCTTACGCCTTCCTCGTCATCATGCTCATTGACGGGATCGATGGTTGTATCATTCACACCGCGCATCCGACTGCTCACGATACCATTTGAACCTGAGGGACGACAAACTAAAATCGGGTGGAATCAACACACAAAACACATAAACCAACATTCAACTTACCATCGGTGGATCGCATAATGTCTTCATAACGAGGTGGCGCCTCGCGAGGTTGTGGAGCTCCACCTTGAGCCGCTACACCGACGAAATCCCACCGGATATAACCGTGCCCATTATGCATAATATTGTGTTCGTCGATTCTCTCCACACGACATCGGTTTGCATGGCATCCACGATCAGCTAAATAACGAAACAAGATCAATTGAATCGAAATCGGATATAAGCAAATTGGTTGAGTACAAAGACAAAAAATTACCTTGGCTCCAAGCCACATCCCGGATTCGACTTCCAGCTGGCATCAACATCACCAACTCGTCATTACCACCAGCACGATCCACAAAAGAAATGGTTACACGTTGAGCCCTGAAATGGAAAACAAAAATACACATACATTTAGATTTTAAGACACTAATTAATCAAATTTTCATTTCTTTCTTTTCATTTTTCTTTTATTCGACACTGGAATATAGCTAAAATCAAAACTTATCAACAAAACATAATTTAAATACTACTTACATGTTATCATTTATATTTAAGCACTTCAATTAATCAAAATCAACACAATTTCACAAATCACAATGAGAAAAGCTGATACAAACAAGAATTGTAATTCGATCTACCCGCGTTATGTCACAGAAAAGTACCGTTAATCAACACCGGCGAACAACTTCATCATGATCACCTATCCCTAACGGTAAATCGGGTGCTCATCTCATACAACAGAGATCAGAAATGAAAAAATGACCAGAAAAATCATCGATGGAAGAAAAGCAAAATTAAATTCAGAATTGGTCATCGTTTATTCAAATCAAAAATAACAACTCATTAACAGAAAATCATTGCTGATCGTTACGTCGATTACGATCACCATACTGCTCACGTATACGAGACATCAAAACCATTATCTCGTCATCGGGTATTCTTGTAGCATCCGATCCAGCATCAATGGCCTCGGCCCAAACACCGGCAGGTTCAGGTCGCATACGAGGAATGAGATTACGTCGCCACCAAGCCTCTGAAATCACACGACGACGCATGGACTGATTCATGCGAGCACCATCAACATTTCTACCTTGCAAATGAATCCGACGAACTAAAATATAACAAGCAGAATGAGAAAACGTCAAATTTTAAACCTTTTTCGATCACAACTTACCACCTTGATCAATTCCCAGCAGATCTTCATTCGTCAAAGCTCGAAAAATGACTTCTATGATTACGACAGCACCGAATCGATTCGTATCAGCTAAAATAAAAAGACATTTAGATCGCATACTAAAATTTTTCAAAATTACATCGACTCACTATAGATTGCTCGACCACCAACGGGCATATTAGCCGGCGGATCATTAGCCACATAATGGATCACAGGCACATATCGTTCAGACCTAAATTAAACAAATTCATTTATCGTCATTACCATTTTATGTATTTTGAAATACCAAAATTAGTTTAAACTTACATTGTTAAATTGTCCCACTTGTTATTGTTGCACGTAGTCACAATTAAATTAAGCACGATCAAATTTCAAACGTCAACCGCCAAAAAACGCACAATAAGCAATATGTTTATAGAATAAG